ATCGCGCAAATCCTGCTCATCCTAGGCAATTTATGGCATGTGATCGTCCACCCTGGCTCCTACACCCTTGCGCCTAGGAAAGGATGTCCATACCCTAGTTCAGGACCATTTCCTTGGACCACAGCAGGCCGAAATCTGAAAGCACCTTTAGGAGTACTTCCACACTACACCGGTCCTTATCAGAAGTAATTTCAAATGAATCGATTACGTGTCATGAAAACTCTTATACATATCCTGGTATTGGAGAGCACAAACAAAACAAATCGAAAGGTAATGGAATTCTAGAGCCGGATCTAGCGAATGCCGACGGAACAAAAAGGAAGAGAATCAATTCGAATCCTGACTTCTCACGATGCCCTTGGGCATGGATTTTTAACAAAAATGTGAATGCTTTCCAAAAAATGGAATGTTTTCCAAAAAGATTGGATTGGAGCCTTGGGAGGTTGTTCGTTACTGCAACCATGGGAGTACTCAACTTCCTTCGATTGAAGCAATTCGGAAGAGGAGGTTAGAAAACAAGAACTCCTTCAGTCGTCCATCAGCGCGGAAACTTGAAGGAAGTTCTGATGAAATAAATCAGCGCAATCTGCTGCGCTTCACCAGCTAAGGGTTCTCTTGTGACATTTCGGCCGTTTCCTTCGAATACAGTTGTGGTCACACCTTCGTTTCAAACTACTACCAAACTTTTTTCCATATTGCGCTTATTACAGGAAAAATAGCATTTTTTTTAGCATGCCCATACCTTTCTGGATGTAGAACTACTATAAATTTTTTAGCTGGATCGAACTTCTTATGGGACGTGTTTAGGGAGGGTTCTGAAAGTCTTTGGCCATTTGTCGATTTTTTTTCCAACTGCACTTTTCTTCTTTACGCCAGTCAGCAAATTACAGTCATATGCCCCATCGTGATCGTGAACATATTGCCTTTCAGCAGGTGATTTGTGGATGCCGTTTGCCCAGAAGTTCTGAGGCTTTAAGGCAAACTGGAGGGAGTCGTTTTCGTAGTCATAACGTAGAAGTAGAGTAGAGATGATGAAGATATAACCTATACCTGTTTTTTATTGCAATCAGCAACAGAAGCAAACGGTATTCTGTTGGGGCCGGATCTGCTGAACACAACTGGTGAGACAGGACATCCCATAAGGAGCTTGGAGACTTTTGCTGGCCCTTTTTCAAAATCCCTTGATGAGCGTTGCTTGGATAAAGTGATCTTTGTAATGTTTTCTACGCATAGTGCATGAGATCCACTCCGCTTGTCCACATTATCGTACTACAACAACAGCAGCGAAGTTTGTTGGTAGGAGCTGTCGGCAAACGGATCGCTTGCAGCTTTACCAAGTCTGAAAGTTGCCTCTCAAGTTGCAGTGCTGAAGTGGACGTCGGAATCTCTGGTCTACGCGTCTGAGCCAGTGGCGCTCGCGGGTGTGGTTTTCTTGAGGAACCATCCTTGCTCCACTACAAGTAGATCGCGGTCAAACAGTAAGCGGTAAATGAAAATGTTCATGCAAAATCTGAAGGCTTCTGATGCGCGGTTGTCACCCAGATCACGAAATCCCCTTTTTCCATATAATTTCTCTTCTTTTTGAAAAGCTATTGAGGAATGGCTATTGTGTTATGATGACTGCAGTAAAGCTGTGTCTGTTAGTGTGCATTGCACCAGAGACTGTTTCAGACAACTCCAGAAGACACTCGTCACTCAGGGTAACAAGCCAACGACTTTGGGGCCATAATCGCTGCGAAATACCACGGCAGAGACGCTCTGGAGAGATCATTGACTGGGTTCACATACGTTTTACAATGGATGTTCAAAAATTATCCCTGGAGATTTCACAACATACACATGGAAATGGCCAAAGACTTTCAGGACAACCTAATATAAAAGATCTTTACGACATGTTCCCCGCGTCAATGGAAATATCATTACAGAACAAACAGTTTTGACATTGCTAAGACTGTTTGAACATCCTGGTAAAAAAAGGAATAGTACATTAAGGACAGATTAGCATTAAGAATTACAATAGTACAAGGGAAGGCGAAGAAATAGGGAACGGTGATCTCTTCAAAAATGCCATGGGAGACATCGATAGCATCATTATGGTGAGGAGCAGCAAATGTAGCGGTGAAGGTGAATATTACAGAACACCATACACTCCCTCCTATTACAACTCCACTTAAAACTGCCTGCTTAGTACTTGCTTTGGTTCAGTTACGTTTCATCGCAACCCATTCAGTTTCGGCTCTGGACATAATACATCGAGAGTATGGCTTTCTTATCAAATCGAATTAAAGCTAAATATAAAAAGGAATATAAATAATACATTGACGAAAAAATAACTCCACTATTTAGTTATTTGGTAGCAAGTCAACAATGTAAAAGCAAAAAAGGAAGGAAAAATATCTTCTAGAAACGAACCTGAAAACATATCCTTCCTGAGCAATAGCTGACGTTAAAGAGCATATAGTTTTCACGTCGTCTATACCGCTATGAAGTCGCCCCTAAAGAACGATGAATGAATGAAACAGAAAAACGAAGGAGGATGTGAACAGTGAACTCTTAATACTCACGGCGTGTTGCAAATTGTATATTCGCAGGAGGTCTTTTAGACCTTTGGCAAACGTTCCACTATGTTCACAATAAGACTTCTTCACATTAATCCATTTGTCGAAGTAACTAAAATATAATTTTAGCTTGTCATCAAAAAAAAAACAGTAAGTGGTGGGGGCATCATAAAAATCCAGAACGCAGTTCTCCTGCCTCATTCAAAGCCAGAGCAAGAGAACAACGTTGGACAGCTTAATCTTCAGATGCTTAA